GAACTTTCGGTGCGTAGAACATTTGAAACTCGATCAGACGAGAATGTTCACGAACTTAGAGAACGCCAAGTTGAAAGAATAAATAAAAGGACAGTCCACTGACTGGGGAATAGAACATACACCTTCCGCGCGACAGTCAAGCGCGGTAACCACTCGGTCACGCACGCGCTCGCTCGCCGACGCGTTTGGAAATATTATTTCTAGCCACACCTTAGTAGCATGGTGGCACAATCTGCCGCCCGTTAGATAGGGTACACATTTTCCACCCACAGCTAAAGGGTCGCGGGACGAATTCATAAAAATCTTGGGAACAAAAAAATATTTTGCACCGAATGTATCCCTGCGCGCTAAGATAGCCACACAACACTGAATACTTACTGATGTTAAGTTCTTGTCTTTTCGCGATCGGGGCAATTTGAACAGCGAGCGGCACAACATGACGGCATAGTCGACCTTCCTATGTCGCATCCAATGAGTTTCAAGAATCTGCTTCGTCAAGCGACTTCATTCAAGCACGAAATATCACCCACACTACAGTGTACTAAATCCACGGCTATTTTTTTGGCAGGCTGCCGCCACAGCGCTGTCCGCCATGTTATTATGATGGCTAAGAATAATATAACCCAACCAAAAAGATGGCCGACCGTGGCCACATTCCTGTGCATAGGCGGAGCTGGGCAAATGCGATCCAGCAAATAGTCATAGAGATCAGCGGTTTGCGCTCACTTAAAAACGTGCACGCGGATTTCCATACCAGAGCCCCCTGAACCGGCGATGTCCAAAAATGGTTCATTGTGACCGTACTAAGCATTGGCGTCACAATCTTCCACTGACGGAACCACTCTAGCTTCAGACAAAAGGCGTAAAATTCCGATGACGTGAACAGCACTTTGCTAGCTCTAAGCATAACGTGCCATTTAAAAACAACACAAAAAAGCGGATAGTAGGATACATAGAGGCGGGTGTACTTGGGGCTATCTAGTGCCACTAAATAAGCTACGCTTCAGAGTAACGACACTGGGCCATATTGTGGCTTAAAAGCATGGTTGCCAGTTATCTGAAGCATTATCTGGAATCACAGGAAACGCTTTTCTGCCCTCCACAAATGTTTAAACAGTCCGTGACAGAGAAAAGCAATATTACATGAACTTCCTAACACCGAATCGAATGCTGAGGAAGTCGCACTTTTGAATCATGACGATCTGCAGTTGCGTCTGCTCTGCACAAGCCCCAATATGGCGGCGCCCACAACAATGTCGGGGAACGGAGTGCCGATACTCTAAGCGCAGCTCATTTAGTGGCTCTAGGGCTATCCATTTGGTCTTCTGTTGGCATCTGAAACCTGCGTTTTGTTCGTGCCTTGTTTCCTGTCCGGTGTTTGGTCGCTTGCCTCCAAGTCTGCATGCAATCAGTTCAGATTTGCCCTGGAATCAGACGACCCCTCGTTCCGTAGATTGTTCCGGCGACAAATATTTTCGGAAGTTGAAAAATGAATTTGTGATACTGAGTACAAGATAGTGAGCTATGTCTAGAGTAGCAAATACCTTAGATGAAATGTATTTGCAAGATACCGAAATACTACCAAAAGTATTTGAAATACAGTATCTTGACTAGAGAATTTAAGATAGGCACAAGGCTGGGTGTTAGTGCCAGGGCGACGTTTTAAGCGGAAGCGGTTAATTACATGGCTGCGATCGTTCAAGCATCGCTCAAAAGCCACGGTTGTTCTCGGAAAAGGGTTGATCTGAATTAAATATTGTTGAAAAGTAACAAGTCTTCGCTTTTCTTCTTTATGGCAGTAACGAGGCCTCCGTGGCCTCGACCATGGAATGTTGTCGCGTGCCTTGCTCCGACGCTCTTATTCGGTGGCTGGGGCCGCAGCATCCGGAGTTCGTTAAGTTATCGTAAAACGCGTTTGGCTGTTGTGGATATGCAATGCCGGACTACATGTCAAGTCCCCCGTATCGCGGCGGGGCATAATGCGAGCTTATTGCGAAATGCGTCATGAGCCGAACCTGCTGTCAAACTAAAGCACGGCAGGTGCCATGTAAACAGTACGCGAGTCTCGTTCTTTCCTAAAATATTTCTGCACACATTACCATACTGCATATCCCGAATTATTTCAGAGTAAACTCAACTAAGGCGCTAAGAAAGCAGAAAAATGTGATTTTCAGAGAAGTCATCGCAAATAGAGCACCCCTTCCCACCTATTTATTCTTATATTACCAGTTTGCAAATCTTGCCCACGTATCTTCCAATGTGATTCAATTCCTTTTTCAATGTATTTGTACTCTACTCAAGATAGGTCGTACTAAAAGCAACTTGAATACTACTCTCAATACATTTTCAAAAGGGTGCTTAGTTTCCTATTTTAAACACTTTTGTTGAGTATTTGGCACCAACACTGGCCATGCTGTAAAAGAAGAGCTGGTGACCATTTACACAGAATTGCGACGCAGTTAATACCAGAAACACGGGGAATGCGGGTTCAACTTTGGCATTTGGTGGTGGTTTCCCTTAGTGGGACTGCGGCAAAAACTAAAAAAAAAAAAAGGAGGGGGGGAGCTTCGCAAGGTACTACTTTGGCTACACGAGGGTTTGTGCAACTAAAGTACAAAACAAAGCAGTTTGGCCGGAATTTCGTAAGTCTTGTAACCAACCCAGGCCCTGTGTGGGCTCATGATCGCCAGCTTCAGTGGCTCGGTATCTTGGCGATACAAGATTTCAGTAACAAACCGTACTTGTGGTTTAGAGGTCGAAATTTAGAAGCGTCTGAGTTTTTAGCGTGGACGTTTTCTCAAGGGACGTAAGTGGTTGTAGCAGTGGTTTCAAGTGGTGGACAGTCGACCTTTCACGCTCTCAGAAGTGCTGGGATCATGGCCGTCTTCTGCGCTTCAGCAGAGAGCGCTCCCAGACTATCAGTGATTTTCTCGACAACTACTAACCTACTAGTAGAATGAGCTGAGCTAGTTGGTTATTTATTTCGGGTGGAACCAGCTGAACATACAAGGGAAGGAAGAAGGTGAGAAACGACTATCGACCGCTGGACTACAAGCTATTTTTTAATCCTTCTATTCTTCTACTAGTGTCCTTTCCTTCTGCTTTTTCTTCATTAATCATTTCTTTCTCCCCTTCCTTTTTTATCTAATTAGCAAGTGGATTAATACCCTGCAGGAAGTTTTTTTTTAGTTGCAAGGTGACTGAAGATAAACTCACGCAATTATATAAACTAAAGTAGCCATAAACTAAAAAAAGATCGTGAAACGGCAAAACGTACAATTTGTGTGCTCGGCAACCAATAAGGCTTAGTCAATGTGTCGCTAGATCAACCAGACACAGAGCAATAAGAAATATCAATGTGGTACCAGACACAAAAGAATGTTCCGTGTAAAAAGGAAGTCATTTACAACATACCGTTGACGTGTGGGCTTTGTTATATTGGTCAAACGTGTTGATGTATAAATGACCGAGCACGAGAACATGCAACCAACCCAAAAACCCTGAAGGCACCGAGGCACTCAACTGTTCATTGTCGATCATGCAAATGCAAGGTAAACCACGAGCAAGTTCACATCCTAGTACACCACAAAAAACAGACTGCACGGAAGATGTTGGAGGCACTTGCTATAGAAGGAAAAGAAGATAACTGCGTGAGTGCCCCTTCAATCCCCTTGCAACATAAAAAAAAGGTTTCTGCAGGGCACTAATTCACCTGCTCAGTATAAGAGGAAGGGGACAAAAAAAAAAAGGACTAATAAAGAAAAAAAGCAGAAGAAAAGAAACAACACTAGTATATGAAGAGGAGGATTCAATAAATAGCTATTTTTAAGGGGGTTTGGGCGGGGGGGGGGGGGGGGAGTGTGGCCTTTTACGGAAATGACCTATGGGTCACGTTCGTACGCACGTTCATCAGTTGTTTTGGAACCATTGTTACCGTCATCTGCCACCGTCACCACTACCAAAACAGTGGGCGACTGAGCACACCTAACGGCGCAAAGCATGCTTCGCGCCGATGACCACGGAGGATGTCAAGTCGACGCGATCACGAGGGGCTGTGTCGGGGTGGAACGGTCAACGGGACAAGACGCGGGCGAGGTGAGACACCGACGCCAAAAAGGACGACACGGACCGAGAAGCATGGTTCTCGTGTACTACACCTACCGGAGTCGTTTTGAGTCTTTTCTTTAACCTCGTTCTTTCATTTGCCACTTAACTATTAAACTTGTTTTTGCGTTCCGTCTTTCGTCCAAATGTCATGCCTTGAAGGATCGGAGTAAGAAGGCCGAACCGACCAGGGGGGAAACTTTAGATGAGCGAGTATCATATCCTTCATGAGCAGGCATGTTCTTGTTTAGGTGTACGTATAAGTGAATTACTATGCAAATAATATGAATGAATGCACATGTTTTGATCGACCTCCCATGTAAAGGTAACCGTGGATGTCTATCTCGGAAGCTTAAAGAGGTCACCTTCCCGGTGACCTCTCCAATCCAAGTTTCACATACAAGTTTCGTCATTTTTCTTTCGTAACACAGTGTATAGAGTTGCCGACACTATAAAGTCATCGTCAGCATCTGCGCATCTGCGCGCTAAAAGTGCCTACACTTCTTTACAAACTTTGTGCTTCGAAGCAGTAAATAAGTGTATTTTTTCAAAGCGATCTAAAGGTCATCCACACTTCCTTGTCCTGTCCCGGTTGGTGGCAGCAGTCCTTCTAGATTGACTGGCACGGTGTGGAATTTGGTTGAGCTGTTATCGCTCGTATTGTTCAGTAGTCGAAGATATGAACAACACTGTGCCGGCTGACCAACTGGAACAACCATTTGCCATCTCAAGGTCGCTCTAATAAGCTCTAGCACGGTTAGGCGCATCAGCAGAATGCTCCACCGAGCACGCGCTTGTGGTGTTCTCTTCATGTTACTCTTTCTCAGACGACTGTAGACAACTAGCGGCAAGAACCCGGAATGGCCCCAAAACGCGACTGAGAAGGACGCACTGACCTGTGTCGAGCAGTGCCTCGGCAGATGTCAGGGTGCTGGCGTAGAGCTTGACCGCGTTGCTATGGCCGAGGCTGTTGACACCATACAAGACGATGAAGTACTCCGTACGGGGCTGCAGGTTGCGCACGCTGAAGACCGGTAGGCCGCTGGTTGCGTTCAGCACCTGGGACGACTGCTGGCTGCTGTACAGTTCGAGCACGTACGTCGTGTTCAGGCTCGCCGTTCCGCTCGAGTGGGAAGTGGATGGAGATGCGCCGTTGGGGGCTCCTCCGTGACCGGTCCAGCAGGACACGCCCAAGGAGGTCTCCGTCAGGTTGCAGATTTGGCAGCTGTGCAGGGGCTCGGGGGGTCCTGCGAACCAGGAGATCGACATGAGCGAAAAAAATCCTACTACTCCGGGTGCTTACACATACAGCTTTGATCGTTTTTCTTTTTTTGCTTTGCTTTTGCTTGAAACGTCATTAAACACGAATATCCCTGAAGTGATGTAATCACATAGGCACGGCGCACAATTAACAGAAACAAAACAAAGAACAGCACCAATAAAAAGCAAGAATAGTTGGAGCAACGAGCTAAAATGCAATTGTGCTTGCTTGTGTGTGTGTGTGTGTGTGTGTGTGTGTGTGTGTGTGTGTGTGTGTGTGCGCGCGTGTGCGTGTGCGTGTGTGTATGTGTGTTTTGCCACGAAATTTATGGTTACAAGCAATGAATATGTAAGCAGTTGGTTTTGGAATATCAGAACTCCGGTCATCATGTTTTTATAACGAGTGCAAATGCGTATTCGGACGCAATAATACACGCAAACACGTACATACAGACTAAAAGAGTAAGGTGATGGTGAATTTTCTGCGTTTTATTTGATTAGCCGGTGATGACAAATCCACCGGAAGATGGCCTCAAGGTTGGACTTTCGGGGCTGCTTAATTGGGCCCAGATCGTTTCCAATGACGTCGCGGCTGAGCTCCGACTTTCGATGAAACAAAATAGAGTCGATGCGTGGTCTGTCGCTCTTGCTGATGGCTCCCGAGGAGACACTGATGTCGGGGTGCGTGTAGAAGATGATATTAGGGATGCCGCGAACTTTTTTCGAACCGGGAGTTCGATGATCAAATCAAGCGGTTCAAAAGGTTCGAAATATTTCGAATTTTCGCACTTTCCATATCGAGAAATTCGACGGAAGTCGAATTTTCGACCTTGTTAAACTAAGAAGTTCGATGCTTTTCGAAATTTCTAACTTATTACGTTGCAAAATTCGATGCTTATCGAAATTTTGAATTTGATAGGACACATTCAATGATTTTCTAACTTTCGATTTTCTTGCACTAGAAAGTTCGAAGCTTTTCGAACTGTCGAACTTCCTACGCTAAGAAAATCGATAATTTTCGAACTTTCGACCTTATTAATCTAAAGAATTCGAAAATTGTCGAACTTTCGATTCCTGAAAAGTCAAAAGTTCGACGAACTTCGAAGTTTTAGGGTAAAAGCTCGAAGTTCGTCGAACTTCGAAAGACGGGCTGGCGGTTTCATTTGGATTCATGCTGTGGGGTACATTCGTAATTTTTTTTCTCGCATTTTTACATGTGGCGCCGCATTACTTGCGAAAGACAATGCCGGTCGTTTATTTCAATCATATGGCATGCTTGGTTTTAAAGAAATGGATTCCCGAAGGAGCGAGAAAGGACGACGGGTTTTTGACAACTGTCGTTTGTGCCATATTTGAAGCGCGCTATAACCGAAGCTATTTATGGTAGGGATGTTAAACTTTTTAAAAATGATCTATGATAGCCTAGGTAAGTGTAGTCTTAAGATATGATTATTATTCTTCAAGACGAGTTTGGAAGAAATATTCAAACATGTATCTACGGGCAATTATGTCCTAAACTTGCCTAAACTTGGTAATTTGTTTCGTCGAAATTGTTTGAGGTATCGCATTTAAATTAACGCTACAAGCAGTGCATATCATTACCATCTGCAGAACACAAATTAATGCATATATTGTTATTTTCACGTTAAGGAATAAATTAACTCAGGGAAAAAGATTTCTAATGTCGTTCAAACTCGGCACGTAAAAAAAAAATAAAAAAAATATATATATATATAAATTATTTTTTTATTTTTTTATTTCACGTTTTTGGGACATATTTCTTTTAGCCTGTACACATTTTGGTAGAAGAAACTTGTTTCGTAGTTCTGGGTCTTGAATATGCAAGAATACAACACTTCTGGTAGATTCTTGATAGTTTTTTTTTTCTCCAGCTTTTTATTTGTTTTTGCATTTATTGTTATGTTTATTTATTTATTTATCATTTTTTACCAATGGCACAGTTATTTAGGTCGAAAAGACATAGCTTTGAACTTCCGAACCACCAAGCATGTGACGAGTAGTGCCTCCTGTCAACGCGAGCTTCTAACAATGACCATCTACGCGATCTTTTATGCAGTGAAGAGCGGCAGTAGCTATACATATGCCTAAATAATTTCAGATTAAAATAAGCTCGTCAAACGTGAAAACAGCGCAAAATATTGAACAAAGGACAAGTGAAAGAAGTGCACTTGTCCTTTGTTCAATTTTTTGCGCTGTTTTCACGTTTGACGATGTTAAACCAACTAGCCCAACTTACCGCCTTGTTTAAGATAAGCTCGACCATGCCGTCTTTCCCCGTATTGTTTCCTTTAACAGTCCGAAATGACTGGGGGGGGGGGGGGGGGATAGAGAGAGAGAGAGAGACTGGAGCACCCCCCCCCCCCCCTTCCCCAATTCCCCCCCGTTTTTCCTTTTCCGACGCTACTGGTATGGTAGAACGCTCTTCGACCCCCAGTTGTGTCAGCTTCTGTGCGTTTTGCTCGGCATTTCTTCCGTCTCGGAAAATAAACCTCCAAAGCAATTACAAACTAACAAAATGTGCAGGCGAGCTCGTGTATGTTGATCATGATGCATAATTCCGAGACTGGGAATGAAATTCGAAAAAAATAGTTAAGAAGAAAGAGAAAAGGGGACAGGACAAACGTCTCAAACTCAGCTGAGTTGAGTTTGAGACGTTGTCAGGGCAGGCAGTTTGCCAGATCGCTTCAAGGTTTTTCTGAGGCTCAAGCACCTGCCTGCCCCTGGCCATTTCGAACTAGATGAGTATAGTTAAACGGTGCGTTTGTCTTATCACTACTGCGTGATGCACGTTAAGCTAAACATATATGGTTCCAATGAGAAACCTGCTGAGCATTTTTGGTCTAAACATATGTTTCGGCATCGTCATTCGCTGAGCTGCCTCTGTAAGTTGCGGCGATTGGCTCTCCCAGTGTTGTGCATGAAAGTAGACGCACAGATTTTTTTTAGAGTGATATCAACTACACTCTAAAAAAAGCCCGTGAGTCTACTTTCCCGCACAACACTCGGAGAGCCAATCACCGCAACTTACGGAGGCAGCTCAGCGAATGACGATGCCGAAACATATGTTTAAACCAAAAAACGCAGTCTGAGTTGTGACATTAAGCAATGCAAGCGTGACGTTTTGCATTGCCTAATGTCACAACTCAGACTGCGTTTTTTGGTCTAAACATATGTTTCGGCATCGTCATTCGCTGAGCTGCCTCCGTAAGTTGAGGTGATTGGCTCTCCGAGTGTTGTGCGTGAAAGTAAACGCACAGACATTTTTTAGAGTGTACAGAGAGCACGCCATGACGTTGTGCCTCTTTCGCTGTTTGATTGGCCCTTCGGCTCTTAATATCGGCCGTCGGGGGGCAGGACAGCTGCCGCCAAGATGCGCTTGTATAAGAAGCCGAAACCAGAGTACGCGTCAGAAATGAAGGGTTTTTCAAAACATGGTAAAATGCTCGGCATGCTTTATACTTGTCTAAAAAGAGTTGATATAGGGGCCATTGGTGATGCCCAGTAAGTTTCTAATTGAAACTATGGCCTTAAAATGAACAAATAAAAAGTTACTGTCTAAAAAACAAAACAAAAACTATTTTTTCCAAACGTTATTTTTTCTAAATAGGCTCTTGGACAGACACCAACATGGCACCCACCTTTTTTTCTGTGCGATGCTTAGTTTTCGCAGCAGCGATTTGGCCTGCGTTCTCTGAAACACCCTACAAGTTAGGCGATCTAAACATATTCACCAGGCGCGAGTAGCGCCTGTTTAACCACTGACTAGCGACGTCATCGACTAAAATGATCACGTGGCAAGCGATAGTCGCCGTTAAGTGAGCGCTTGGTATTCACCGGTCGTGTTTAGGGCCTAGTCGCCCCGTGCGACTAAGAAGTCGACTAACAAATTTTAGTCATAGGGTAGGACTAGTTTAGCGGGCGACTAGAGGCTCAGCGCCATGGCAGACTCGTATCACCGCTGGCCGCCAGCGCTATAACAAAGCACTTACTGTTTCGGAACGCTGATGGACATATCTAGAAAGAATGGGAGGACCAAATATTGTGTAAATAGCCATGTTCAACGGCCAAAGATATTGCTAAACCGATCTCAGCAAGGCGGTGGACGGCGCGAAAAAACGCATTTACGTGCGCTTTCATATTTGTTTATGTCACTCGCAATGCGGCTTCCGTGTTTCTCCCTGGGGTTATTTTTAAAATTTTCTTTGTAAAACTTTGTCTCGGACAATATGTCTGTCATTGTAACTTTTTTTTTTCGTGATAAACATTTAAAGTTTAGTTTTTATACGAAAAAATACCCATTTACGCAGTGGCGTTTGAGTATGCATATGCGTGACCTATCTTTTTACGTCACTTCCGCATGTTAGTTCTGACTAGATAGTCACCCGCTCGCTTCGCGCTCGTGAATACCGCAGAACATAATCGCTCGTTAGTCGCGGATTTCTTGTTTAGCTTGCGACAGTAGTCATGCTATTAACCTTAAAACGGCTCTAGTTAGTCGCGCCTGGTGAATACCGGTGATTATGCATATAAATGAAGGAAACGGATTATTCAATTAATGATTCGATTAAAGGGTGGCGATTAATCGGGTTAACTTTTTCAGACGACTCCCAGTCGTAATAAAAATATTCCCTCGGAAAAGCCCGGCTGGCATCGACTGCCGGACCTTTGAATCTGGCATTGAAAACAGAGATAGAGAAGAAACCATCACATTTGATACAAGTCAAAACGAGACGCAAATCTACAAGAAAAAGTCGAAGTACGCGGCACACGCACGGAGGCGCGCGAAGTATACAGGCAGCACATACAAAGCACATCGTAATAACTCAGTAACGTCATTAAGCAATAGTTGCCATCTTACAGAACGAAGGGCCATTTCGAGACACGGACCTTATCACTTTCGCCGGCACCGTTTTCGAAACCGCAACTTTGTTACTGCGATAGCGGTATCCGGAAGTCGGGGAAAACA